TTTCAGTCCAGCCTCCTTTACAGGGTTGTTGTGGGAATCGAATGAGGAGAGAGCTTCCCCGTGCTTTTCTGCTTCTAGCTGCCAGAGAAACATAAGAAAGGAAAAAAAATACTTGCACCGATCCTTAAAAAAAAATGTTTCTCCTTCAAGAAGGTTCAAATTCAGCTACTAAGAGGGGAAATGACAGAATGAAAAGCCTACGGCAAGATGGTTGACAAAGAGGAACATCAAATGATACAAAAATCACACGCGTAGGGCAGTCCCTCTCCATGCTGGCTGGGAATTCTGGGAGTTGTACTCCTCGCAGATCTGGAAGCAGAATTAACAGAGTTGGAAGGGACCTTGGAGGTCATCTAGTCCAACCCCCTGCTCAGGCAGGAAACGGTTTACCATTTCAGACCAATGGCTGTCCAGTCTCTTCTTAAAAACCTCCAGTGTTGGAGCATTCACCGCTTCTGGAGGCAGGTTGTTCCACTGGTTAATTGTTCTGACTGTCAGGAAATTTCTCCTCGGTTCTAGATTGTTCGTTTCCTTGATTAGCTTCCATTCTTTGCTTCTTGTCCTACCTTCAGGGGCTTTGGAGAAGAGCTTGACTCCCTCTTCTTTGGGGCAGCCCCTCAAATATTGGAAGACTGCTATCATGTCACCCCTTGTCCTTGTTTTCATTAAACTAGACATACCCAATCTCTGCAACCATTCTTCAGATGTTTTAGCCTCCAGCCCTCTCATCATCTTTGATGCTCTTCTCTGCCCTCTTTCCAGAGTCTCAACACCAAGCAATAGAAGGGAACCTTTGTGGCTTACGGTTGAACCATGAGATCCTTGGTGCTCTCTGAGCTAGACTGATGTTGTTACCTAGTTTGGTAAGGAAACGTCTGCAGGAAAACCACCAAGCTCAGAGAGCGCCACAGACCCCATAGAACTGGAAGCCAATAATAATAATAATAATAATAATAATAATAATAATAATAATAAAGTTGGAAGGGACCTTGGAGGTCATCCAGTCCAACCCCATGCTCAGGCAGGAAACCCTATACCATTTCAGACAAATGGCTGTCCAGTCTCTCCTTAAAAACTTCCAGTGTTGGAGCATTCACCGCTTCTGGAGGCAGGTTGTTCCACTGGTTAATTGTTCTAGCTGTCGGGAAGTTTCTTCTTAGTTCTAGGTTGCTTCTCTCCTTGATTAGTTTCCATCCGTTGCTTCTTATAATGGTGATGATAAAGTTGGAAGGGACCTTGGAGGTCATCTAGTCCAACTCCCTGCTCAGGCAGGAAACCCTATACCATTTCAGGCAAATGGCTGTCCAGTCTCTCCTTAAAAACTTCCAGTGTTGGAGCATTCCCAACTTCTGGAGGCAGGTTGTTCCACTGGTTAATTGTTCTCACTGTCAGGAAGTTTCTCCTTAGTTCCAGGTTGCTTCTCTCCTTGATTAGTTTCCATCCATTGCTTCTCGGCCTGCCTTCAGGTGCTTTGGAGAATAGCTTGACTCCCTCTTCTTTGGGGCAGCCCCTGAGATATTGGAAGACTGCTATCATGTCCCCCCCTCGTCCTTCTCTTCATTAGACTAGACATCCCCAATTCCAGCAACTGTTCCTTATATGCTTTAGCCTCCAGTCCCCTGATCATCTTTATTGAGGTGGGAAAAGGCTGTTCTTCCACAGATGGGTCACAGAACTGAATTACATCACCCCTGACTCTAAGCCACCCTGCACTCCCGGCTAGGCGATGGTTTGGGAAATTTCTAAGTTTGAAAGACTTCACAAAAAGAGAAAGAGGAGGCTGGGGGGGGGGAATCCTTCCCCCAAAGCCAATCTCCTATTTACAAACCATTTCTCTTTAATCTGGCTACTTCCAATCCTTTCTGCCCCTCTTCCCCCCCCCCCTTCCCATATTTCCTGGTCACCAAAGGATAATACTTTTTGGTTTGGCAGAGAGATTGGGGCGAATGCGTTAACGGTTTGAGCTCCCACATGCAAGAAATTAAGCTAATACCATTAGCCACTCACTCTTTTGTTTTCCTCCTGTTCCCTTTTGTAGGCTGTTTAAAAAGAAAACAGGAAAAATCTTGTCTGTGGGCCAAGCAGCTGGTGGAAAATGACTCCAGAGCTGTTTACAGGAGAGACACACACACAGAGAGAGAGAGAGAGTGGGAAAAAGAAGGGAAATTTAAGGAGTTGGGGAATCTTGAGATCCTGTTTATAACGTTGAGTATGAGTATCGGAGTGGACACTCTTTTCCCTTGGAAAGCAGGCAGCCTAAAGAAGGGTCCTCAAGCCGCATTATTTATGGAGCTTCTGAAGAGGAGCCTCAATAGAGCTTTTTGTGACTAAATAGGCTGGAGGGGAGGGGACACAGCTGCCACATCTGGTTCTCGGTAGGCTTGATCCTCTGCAGAAGACAAGCGGATGAGTCATGGTTCTTGTGAAAATGGCAGGCGTCAGTCAAAGCTTTCCCACCCTCTCTGATGGCACCGACCAGGTCAAGATGGGGTGGAGGGGGACAAGTTGGACAGTTGTCAAGATCTAAGGAGGCAGCCTCTGAGCAGATGGGCTGTGGAGGTGGCTGAGTCATGGCCCTCACCCACACATCCTTGCCGGTGATGAAAGGCAGAGAGGCAGATCTGACCGGTCTAGCCGACCACAACTTTCCCAGGAGAATGCAAGGGGAAGCACATGGATGACCTCAGAGCAGACATAAATCTCAAATATTGGAAGACAGGGGTCCTAGGACCTTTGGGGAGGGGGCACTGGTCCATGGAAAACGTTGAGACCACATGGTGGGAAAAACATAGACCAGAAGGTTTGGCTTAGAAACATCTGTTATGGGAACCGTGCCCGCTGATCAAATTCCATTTATCAGAAGACGAACTCCACCGTTTGTTCGAAGAGTTCTAAGATTTTATATTTTCTGGGGAAATTTTATATTTTATTTTGAAGAGTTTGTATTTTAGAAACCCTGGTGGTACAGTGGTTAGAATGCAATATTGCAGGCAAACTCTGCCCACTGCCAGGAGTTCGATCTGACCGGCTCAAGGTTGACTCAGTCTTCCATCCTTCTGAGGTCGGTAAAATGAGGACCCAGATTGTTGGGGGGGGGCAAATAATGCTGACTCTGTAAACCATTTAGAGAGGGCTTTGAAGCATTATGAAGCAATATATAAGTGTTGCTTTCAGCTTGCCTTCAGAAATTGTGGTTGCTCCAGCACTGGAGATTTTTAAGAAGAGGTCACTTGTCTGAGATGGTATAGGTTCTCCTGCTTGAGCAGGGGGCTGGACTAGAAGACCTCCAAGGTCCCTTCCAGATTCTATTCTATTCTATTCTATTCTATTCTATTCTATTCTATTCTATTCTATTCCATTCCATTCCATTCCATTCCATTCCAATATTCTATTCTATTCTATTCTATTCTATTCTATTCTATTCTATTCTATTCTATTCTATTCATTCCATTCCATTCCATTCCAATATTCTATTCTATTCTATTCCATTCCATTCCATTCCATTCTAAAGTGCTATTGCTAGTGCCAGTTTCTTGGAAGAGTTTATAATTTATTTGAAGATTTTATTGTTACCTTCTCGGATATGCTCTGAGCTGCCCAGAATCATTCTGCAAACAGTGGTGCCTAAAAATCAAATACATTAAATTAAATTAAGATGGACACTTCATATCCCTGCAGTTTATCCTTTTCTCTTTTTTCCCCAAGTTGTTATTTCCAAATAATCTGTGACTCCTTTCAAGCGAATTTCTGGGTGGTATGCAAAAGGCAGCCTCTGGACTTTGAGCTATGACACTTTCCTGTTTTATTTATACTGTTTGCAGATCTCTGATCGTTTGCATTCTTTTAGAGCAGTGGTTCTCAACCTGTGGGTCGGGACCCCATTTGGGGTCCTAGGACCATTTCACGGGGGTCGCCAAACAACGCAGTCCGCCTTTCCCCCCCCCCTTTTCCTTAGCTGTGCTACTCCCTTTTATTCTATTGGCTTTCGAAAGCCAATAGAATAGACTCTCTTGAATAGAGTCTAATTCTATTGGCTTTCAAAAGCCAATAGGAATTGTCCAGGCTGTCTCTGCCCTGCTGAGCCCGCCAAAAGTCCCAGTCTGCAAACGGTGCTGCACCCGTTGAGTAGTCCTCAACTTAACGACCGGTTGAGTAGTCCTCAACTTACGACCGGTTGGGGGTCGCGGCATTAAAAAGGTTGAGAACCACTGTTTTAGAGAGGCCACTTGGAGGCTCTCTTCAGGTGACCCTGAGGACACAGATAAACTTCCAACTGGCCTCAACGACTCTCTAAAAAGAATGCCAATGACCAGCTGTCTGCAAGGAGTATAAATCCTGCCCTTCCCCACCATCCAGTCAGAGCTGAAGAAGCTTCTTGGATGAGAAGCGACACGTCTTCAAAGGAAAACAAGAAAGTCCAGTTGCCTCTTCAAAACAGCACCTTGGGGACTTCAAACAGTCGCTAAACAAATAGCTGTAAGTTCAAGACTACAGATAGTCCTTAACTTGCAGCCACAACGGTGCCCAAAATGTCTGTTGCTAAGAGAAACATTTGTTGAGTGCATTTTGGCCCCATATTACGACCTCTCCTGCCACAGTTGTTAAGTGAATTGTCGCAGTTGTTAAGTGAGTAACACGGTTGTTAAACAAATCTTCCCCCTGGACTTTGCTTGTCCGAAGGTCGCAAAAGGGGATCGCAGGATCCCGGGACACGGCAACCGTCCTAAATACGAGTCGGTTGCCAAGCGTCTGAATTTTGACCACGTGACTGTTTAGGATGCTGCAATGGTCGTAAGTGTGAAGACGGGTCATCGGTCGCTAAACAAACTGTTGTAAACTGAAGAATGCCTGTATTTGTAATCTGTACTTCAAGTGAGACAGGAAGCTGGACAGGTACATTGGGAGTTGCAGGTGGGTTTCTAGGGGCCCCAGATTGAAGAACCATGCCAGTCAGGCAAAACCCCTTCCTTTGGCTAACCCTGTCTCGCTCTCCCTTGCAGTGGTCTCTCCCAAGAAGCTGGCAGTGTGGAACAGATCTCCTTGCACTGTGCCGAAGGATCCCTGGAATGGCTGTACCCAGCCGGAGCATTGCGCCTAAGCCTGTCCCCCCGCCTGCCCACGGGCCCCGCCGGCAAAGAGAAACCGCAGCACGTCACCGCTTGCATCAAGTCCTCCAACAGCTTCCGGGGAGCTCAGATTTACTTGGAACGGGACGGGGTCTTGGAACTGCTCCTCTCGGAGACGGACGCGGCCCTCCAGCCCAAGGTGCGCTGTTTCAGGTGGCTGCCGCGAGAGAAAGTGGCCCTCTTCCTGCAGTCCACTTTGCACCAAGACATCAGCCGTCGAATTGCAGCGTTCCGTTACGAGCTGCGGGGCGAGTGGAATGCTCACATCTCCTGGTCCTGGAGGAACCTCAGCGTGGAAGGTGTGTTTGTGTTGGCCTTGCGGGGATCAACCAGATAGGAAATCACAAACAGATGGGCTCATTCTACCTTACCGTAATGCTACGATGACCGAATCTTGCAAGTCTGAAAGTACAGTCCTCTCGAGGAGAATATTTGTAGCTCAAGGTTGAAATGAGGGGTCCGTGGTACTCTCTGAGTTTGGTGGTTTTCTACCACCATCAGTGGTAGAACTAGCACGGATAATGTTACCTAGTTTGGGGAACGAAACATCTGCAAGAAAACCACCAAACTCAGAGCATGCCAAGGACCCTTCCTCCGTTCAATCTCCTCCATCTTTTTTGTGGTCTGAGAGGAAGGGTTTCTTCTGAGGGAGGGTCTCTTCTGAGCCTCTTGTCCTGCCCAGTATTGAGTTGTGGGCTAAGCTGCCTCTTATCTGATTGTTCCCTTGACAGCATCTCTTCACCTAGTTTCCCATGTTCTTCCCCACATGCCATTATAATTTGCTTGAATACAGGACGATTGACTTGTGGGAATGTTGGACAAGGAAATGTCCCTTCAGCCGGTCAGGATCGAACTGCTGGCAATGGGCAGAGTTAGCCTGCAATACCGCACTCTAACCACTGCGTCACTGCAAAGCAATTGTCCTAATTACTGTCACATGCCATATGGCCAAGCACCCAAATTTTGATCGCATGACCACGAGGAAGCAGGGATGGCCGTAAGCGTATGTCATGGTTGTTTTTTTCAGTGCCATTGTGACTTCAAATTGTTGCTAAACAAATGCTTGCCAATCGAGGACTACCTGTATAAAAAAATATAATTTTAACGTGTGCTCGGTAAAGAGGTGCATCTATTTAAAACTGGAGTGCAGAAGAGCTTCAGGATGGCTGGGGGTGGGCAGACAGCTTCTTTAAGGACCCCCCCCCTCCGAAAACCTTCGATTGAAAAATCTCTCACAACTTTGCAGCAATTTTCTGATACAGAGGAAATCCATGGTTTACCATCTCCTTGGCACAAAGGATGCTGGAAGCAATCAGTCGCTTTCCCACCATTTAAATCTTTTGATATGGTGGGATGCCTGAATGCTGTCTGACAATCATTTGACAGTATTTGATTGCTGCCGGATGGGAACGGGGAAATGCCGGTAGCTCTCCTCTTCCACAAATCACGCTGGGAATCTGAATACTGGGGATTGGGTAAATCCATGGAGGACAAGCTTTCTTTTTAAGGTGCCTTGTCCACAGGTGAACATCATGAACGATTAAACTTGAAGTACGGGCAGTCCTTGACTTAACAACCATTCGTTTAGTGATCAAAGTTACAAGGGCGCTGAAAAAAAAGAGACATATGACCATTTATCACAAACAAACTTAAGTCCAATCTGTCTTGAATGTGGTTGACCTTTATCAAACTCTAACCAGATGCTGAGCATTAGCTGAGAAGGCTTTTAGCAATAAATCAGTTGAATTGATTGGTCCTGGTTTTTCACACCCAACAAGGCACCTCATATTCTTCACACAAAGTTGTAGGGAGCCATCTACGTGAGGATATGCGCCAAGCATCATCGTGTTTAAATAATGAAGAAATGAATAACAATCCTAATAAATAGGTGGAGAATGAAGGCCAAACCCAGTGTAAACATTTGGCTGGCTGTGTGACGAATGGGGACATATGACCGTTTATCACACTTAACGACCGTTGCAGCATCCCCAAGGTCATATGATTTGCATTCGGACACTTGACAATTGCTTCGTATTTAGGATGGTTGTGTGTCCTGGGGGGTCACGTGATCCCCTTTTGCAATCTTCTAACAAGCCATGTCAACAGGAGAAGCCACATTTGTTTAACCACCGTGTGACTAATTTAACAATTGCAGTGATTCGCTTAACAAACGTGGCCAGAAAAGTCGTAAAATGGGGCAAAACTCACTGAACAAATTTCTCACTTAACAGCATCAAGTTTGGGCTCCTTTCTGGTGGTAAGCATCCCAGAATCACGTGGCCGCCATTTGTGGTCTTCCCAGCCAGCTTCCAACCAGCAAAAGTCATTGGGGGAAGTTGTGTTTGCTTAATGACTGGGCGGGTGCTGTTTTGGTCATAAGAGCAAGGACAGCCACAAGTCGCGTTTTGCAGCACCATTGTAATTTTGAACCCTTGCCACATGAAGGATGGTAAGTCGAGGACTATGTGTCTGTTGCTTATGGGCCCAATTGCTGTTTAGTGACTATTGGTCCTTTCCCCCTTTCAAAGATGCAGGGACTTGCCGTCCGTGTAACAACACCGAAATCCTGATGGCAGTTTGCACAAGTGATTTTGGTGAGTAGATTTTCTCCAGTGTTGTTTACTGCTCTCTTCACCATCCGTGGAGATTCTCAGTCATACGGATCCTGGTTGTCTCAAAGGTCCGTTTTCAAGAGGCAAACGGACTTCGTTTTTCTTTGAAGACGTTTCGCTTCTCATCTGAAGAGCTTCTTTAGTTCTGACTGAATGATGGAGGAGGGAAGGGTTTATATTCCATGCAGTCGTCTGGTCGTTAGTACTCCAGCTAAGAGGCTAGAAAGTGGAGTTCTAGTTCCACCTTAGGCCTGAAAGCCAGCTGGGTGACTTGGGGCCAGCCCCTCTCTCTCAGCCCAACTCACCTCCCCTCAGGGTGGGTTATTGTGGGGAAAATAGGAGGCGGAAGATGTGTTGGATACATTCACCTTCTTATTTGTAAAAAGGCAGAAGATAGGTAGATAGATAGAAAGATAGATAGATAGATAGATAGATAGATAGATAGATAGATAGATAGGGATAATAGATATGAGAGAGAGATTAGATAGATAGATAGATAGATAGATAGATAGATAGATAGATAGATAGATAGATAATAGAGATGAGAGAGATGATATAGATGATAGATAATAGATATGAAAGAGAGATGATATAGATAGGGAGAGAGGGAGAAAGGGAGAGAAATATGGAGAGAGAAAGAGATAGAAATTGAGATAGATAGATAGATAGATAGATAGATAGATAGATAGATAGATAATAGAGATGAGAGAGATTAGAGAGATACTAGAGATGAGAGATGATATAGGTGATAGGTAGGTAGGTAGGTAGATAGATAGATAGATAGATAGATAGATAGATAGATAGATAGATAGATAGATAGGTAATAGAGATGAGAGAGATGATATAGATGATAGATAATAGATAATAGATATGAGAGAGATGATATAGATAGAGAGAAGGAGAGAGGGAGAAAGGGAGAGAAATATGGAGAGAGAAAGAGAGATAGAAATTTAGATAGATAGATAGATAGTAGATAGATGATAGATATGAGAGATATAGATGATAGATAATAGATAATAGAGATATGATATAAATAAATGATAGATAGATAAATAGATAGATAGATAGACAGATATAAAGATAGATAGATAGATAGATAGATAGATAGATAGATAGATAGATAGATAGATGTATAATTGGAGGTATACGGTGCTTTCATTCCCCCTTTGCAGTGCTTGTGGTCATCCACCTGCCTTTCCCCCCTCCGTTGTGGGCAGCTTTTGCTTGCTTGCTAACCCCCCCCCCCATGTTCAATCTTCAGCCCTGGAAGAAAGAGGTCACGGCGTCTGGGAGGGCCCTGTTCTGGGGTTGCTACAGCAACTGGCAAGTCAGACAAGAGAACAGGCGGATTTGTCACACCAGATCAGATCAGGGGCCTATCGGGAGACCTCCGAGAGACTCCTTGCCGATTTGTAGGGAGGGAGGCGGACGCATTTTTGAGCGGGGGGGGGGGGGTGCTGGGTGATGAAGGCCAAGAGAGGATTGGCGGAATCCTCTAACAATTCTACAGCTACTCAAAGGGCATTGCAGCCAACTGAGAGAGAGGTCAGCAAAGAAAAGTCGGCCAGATTCCTCTCCGGGAGGGTCCCTTGACCACCCTGAGATCAATGGATATTTTCAATAACGCCCCTTGCGGCCACACGACTGCAACTGGACCGCGTTTGTGGTTATTCGCGGCATCCCGCAGTCCCATGACCGCGACTTATGGCGATTTTGGCCAGGAACTGGTGTTCGCTTGTCAGTTTCCCATCAAAAACACCCACCGCTTACAACGCAGCGTTCATTTAAACCGCAAACGAGGTTATAAAATAGGGCGCAGTCACGTGGTGACTCGCTTAATGGCCGCCACAACCTCTGGGCTCAAGTACAGTTGGAAGTCAAGAACTATTTTATATTTTATTGTGTGAATTACCCAGCAAGTTGGGTAATAAAGCTGTCTGTTAGTTGATCCAACTCTGGATATTGTCTTAATTCAGGGCTAGGGGTCGAACGACCATTTCACGGGGGTCGCCGAACAACGCAGTCCGCCATTTTTCCCCCCCTTTTCCTTAGCTGTGCTACTCCCTTTTATTCTATTGGCTTTTGAAAGCCAATAGAATAGACTCTCTTGAATAGAGTCTAATTCTCTTGGCTTTCCAAAGCCAATAGGAATTGTCCAGGCTGTCTCTGCCCTGCTGAGCCCGCCCAAAGTCCCATTCTGCAAACGGTGCTGCACCGGTTGAGTAGTCCTCGACTTAACGACCGGTTGAGTAGTCCTCGACTTACGACCGGTTGGGGGTCGTGGCATTAAAAAGGTTGAGAACCACTGCTTTAGAGAGTGGTGTGAAGTGATGCCATTGGGGATACATTCAGCAAACTCTGATCAAGGCTCGCCATAGCTTAGCCTTTAAGCCTTGGACCTGATCTGCTATTCTGTTTGCTGGGCTACTGCTTGAAATGACCTTATAAAAGGGAGGGGGGATTGAATCATTGTTGCTCTCCTTTATGAGCACTTTCCCTTCTGCCCCCCCCCCCCACCTCAACCTTTCCTGCAGTTATCCGTGGCAACATCAAGGCCGTCTCCAATGACAGGGAAGCCCAAGAATCGATCATCAGCGTGAGCGCCACTCGGATCCACCGGCAGAAGTTTGCTCTGTTTCAAGCGCTTGGCAAATCTGGAAAATCCACAGGCAGCATCCACACCCTGCTACGCTGCGGGGTGAGGCCCGGTCCGGGCAGTTTTTTATTCACCGGGTGGATGCACTTTGCCGAGGCCTGGCTCACCTGTGCTCCCCGGTACAAAGACTTCATCCGCATTTACGAGGAGGCACGGCAGGCTCACGAGAACCCCTGCGAGGTCTCGTTGGACTGACTTGAGATGAGAAGAGGTCAGGAAGAAGGGAAGCCTCTGGGGCTGTGATCAAGCCAGGAGCAGCCACCCTCATGGTGGCAACGGGAGGAGAACCTTGTCCTTAGACTCAAGGAAGAACAAGCTCTTTCCTTCCTCCAAGGGATCAAATGGATCTACCAGCCCATAACTCTTTTCCTGGTTGTCTGCAAATGAGTTGTCTTGGCCAAGTCCAAGTAGAGCCTCATGAGATGTTCTCTGATCATTTTGAGGATCATCACGAAGCAGGCAAAAGGTTTCAGAACTTACCAAACATGGGACTGAGGTGGGACTTGGGGTTTTGGTCTTTGAGTTTTCCACCACCCATGAAAGCCAATATAATTATTTCTGAGTTTGCAGAAAACCACACCTGTTCCTCTTCACTGTGGATATCTGCAGATACATCACCAACCCAACAGGAAGGACCATGAGTTTCAGGTCTAAAAGGATGATCCATTCAGCTGTTCATTCCTGATCAGTCAAGAAGGCCCAGGAGATGATCCAGTTTTCTCTTTGGGGGGTTGTGTGTCTTATCATCATTAGGTTCTGTCATCGAAGGAGACCATCCTAAACTAAATGAAGAATGAGATGTTTTCAGGAGGGGGGAAGAACGAGGCATCATGCTTCAAACACGCTGAAAGATGTCAGAAAGAGGGACAAAACATGTGACTGGAAAGGACACATGCTCGGTTCCATTCATTTTCCTTTTTAAAAATATATCCATCTCTTGATAATTCAAGCAGGGAGAACAAAGCTTTAAATAACTTCAGATGAAATACATTCTCCCCCCCCCCAAAAAAAAATAATGTAAATGTGAAAATGGGTTGATTGAATTCCACATCTAGATATCTGAATGCCGTTGCAAGATTTGTCTAAATAATTCAGATCCAGCCATCAGCTTTTCTTCATAAAAATTGCCTGATTCTGACTTCATGGCCACCAATTCTCAATAAAATCCAGACTGGATTCACACATTGTACTGAACTTTGACATGAGCTCAGTCTATCACACAAACCCAGCCAGTTGTGACTTATTCTATATATACACCCTAGATTTTGAAAACTGTGGCTTGGTGCCCTGTGTGTGTGTGTGTGTGTGTGTGTGTGTGTGTGTGTGTGTGTGTGTGAATCCAGCGAGTTGTAGTTTCTTTAGCAAACTGGGTTTAATCAAACCATATCTTAAATGCGCCGTGAAAATCCTCAAGAGTCTATGTTTCATGGCAACACATTTTTAATTGTTCAGTTAAGCTCTTATTCTTCCAAAATAATAATTGGACAACTCCTGATAATTGGAGAACTATTGATTGATCTGGGAAAGAAGGAACCTCTGAAGATAATGTACATCAAGGCTATTTTCAATTTATGTCTGTTTATCCATGCTACTCAAAAGACTCTGGTGGTTCAAGTTTGTTGGCGATGTCAAACAATTGTGATGTTCTCTAGATGTTTTGGACTACCAGCCCTTGTTCTTGATTTGGGAGCTGATGAAAGTTAAATGTCCAAAGCACTTCTAGAGGTCAGTCAATTTTCTTCCCCATAATTCTGAGATCTCTGCAGCTAGCCACCACAGAACTGCGATTCCCAAGATTCTTCAAAGTTGAGAAAGATCACATGTCCAGTACTAGAGATCAAAAAGGATAGGATATAACTTCACACTCGAAGAACTTCAGAATGTGGTGCTGGCTGCAAAAATCAACCTTCCTTATTGATGCTTATTTTAAAAATATTTCTAGTCTGTGATTTCAAAAATGTGCTTAAAATCATCTGATAATTATTTAGCAAAACTGGAGAGGTGGACCAGATTTACTAAAGTCCTACCTTGCATGCCTGTTTTCTCTTTAGGGCTCCTGTATCCAGGCTTCCAGAAAATTGAACAATGATTGCATGGCAGCTAAGAATTCTTGAAATCTGTTTTATTGCACTGTACAGGTAGTCCTCAACTTACAACCACAAGGAGGTTATAAACGTTGAGTCCAGCATTTACAAAATGGAAGGACTGATGTTGGGTTCACTTCCACTGAAACTGAGGTGGTGATTAAATTGCAGGATCAAAATCCAGGTCGTCCTCAATTTACGACCCAGAGTTGAGCCCAAAATTTCTGTTGTTAAGTGAAACATTTAGGGGGTCGCCCTTTCTTGCCAGAGTTGTTACTCTGTGGTTGTTAAGTCAGTAACAGTTATTAAGTGAATCCGGCTTCCCCATTGATTTTGCTTGGACAGAAGATTGCAAAAGGGGATCACACAACCACTGCACTGCAACCGTCCTAAGCACATGCCAGTTGCCAAGCGTCTGACTTTTGATCACGTGACCCTGGAGATGCTGCAGTGGCCATAAGTCACTTTTTTTCTGTGCCGTTGTAACTTGCAACAGTCCACTAAATGGACTGTTTGTAAGCCGAGGACTACCTGTAATGGTTTCCTGGAGCTTTGGAACTCACCTACGGAAGGATGGCTTGTCCTCCAGCTTGTGGGAAAAAGAGAGAGAGAGAGCTAAGAAAGGATGCCCTTCTTCCCTTCATCACTCTAAATTTCACGGAACAATTCTATCACCACTTTGGTGCTCATTGTTGATTTCTACCCAGCCACAACACCTCTGTGCCAAATTGGCCGGCAACTTTGTCAGTTGTCACCAATAAAAAAAAATGGCTGTGTATTCAGGGTGCCTTACAGCCTGATCAATTTATGGCAGCCTAAGCATTTATAGACTACATTTCAGTCTGTCAAAGGTTCACCACCACGTTATCTTGAGTTTCCTGGGCTGGACTGGGCTGCCGAATGAGAGGGACAACTGTGTGTGCTCACAACGAAAGCGGGTGATAATCAAGGACTCCAACTAGGGATAATTGTCTGTGAATGAACAGCCATTCACAGAAAGGGTTATGGGGCCAGCACAGAAACTTGGAAGCATATACAGCCTGGTTTTTATTGTTACTATTATTATTATTATTATTTAGACATTGTTTTTCTTCAAGCCACAGAAAGAAGAGATGGGTCTTTTCAGGAATTTGAATCTCAGGGGTTTCATATAACATTTCTGCTAAGCTGGCTGGCGTCGCCTTGAGTGAGTTGGGCAGCCATATAAATATTCTTCATAAAGAAAGAAAGAATAAGTACAGGTTAGTCCTCGACTTAACGACCACAACGGAGCCCAAAATTTGTGTTGTTGCTAAGTGAAACATTTGTGAAGTGAGTTTTGCCACAGTTGTTAAGTGCATCGCTGCAGTCCAGTTAATAGCTTGGTTGTTAAATGAATCTATCGACTTTGCTTGTTGGAAGGTCACAAAAGGGGCTCACATGACCTCCCCGAGATGCCACGACCCTCACAAATATGACCCAGTTACCAAGTGTCTGAATTTTGATCACGTGACCGTGAGGATGCTGTCACGGTCGTACATGTGAAAAACAGTCAGCAATCGCTTTTTTTTTCAGCGCCGTTGTAACTCCGAACGGTCACTAAACGAACTGCTGTAAATTGAGGATGTCCTGGAAGCAGTTAAAACTGGACGTGGCAAATCTCAGTGCGCAAAACCTTTTTGGCAATTGTTTTAGCCTCTCAAGATAACTCTGTCTTGATTGGAGGCTTGGCTGGATCACACAAGGTCCCAAGATATAAACTCGGAATTGAAAAACCACACGCACAAAGGATTTCGATCGAATCAGGATAACCCTTGTAGCTGCAGTCCTTGCAGGCTTTTGCTGTCACAAATAGGTTAAACCAGTGGTTCTCAATACTTTTCTTCCCCACGGACCCCATTTAAATACCTTTTTTGTGGCCACAGACTTTGGCCACGGACCCCCAAGACTTAACTTGAGATTTAAATCATGGCATCTTTTTCAAGCCTTCGCGGTTCCCCCGTGACGACCCTGTGAGGGCCCCAGGTATCTGTGGATCGTAGATAGAGAGCCACTGGGTTAAACTTTCAGAGGCCATGACATCCTTCGTTGTGACCCAGTCTCAGTTCCACTGTACTGTAAGGTTGGTGATAGTAAATGCTGCTAAATCTCAGAGCTATTTAGAGACGGCTCCTTCTCCTTTTAACATTTGGAAAGGATTAACGGTGTTCTAGATGTGTCACAGGATGTATTGTTGCCTGGGTTTCAGCCATGATGCATAAGGGAAATAGGTCCATTGGAATAACCTGTCCATGAACGCTGGTGTGATGGTTGTCATAGTTGCTGTTCTAAAGAGATATTGTTGGGCAGTCTTGCCACAGGCTCTGGTATCGCTGTTTCCCTACCTTGGCAAAGTTTAAGATGTGTGAACATCAGGTTCCAGATTTTCCCAGATAGGCTTAAAATTGCTGAGGTTGGGAAACACTGTTCTAAATCATCTTGTTTTATTCTGATGTGTCCTATGTAGCCTTCCTTCCTTCCTTCCTTCCTTCCTTCCTTCCTTCCTTCCTTCCTTCCTTCCTTCCTTCTCCTTCCTTTATTCCTTCCTTGGCAGAAAAGACATAAAAATAGGAATAGATGCTCTGATAAAATGAGAGGGTTAAGAGAGAGAAGGAGGGAGGAAGGGAAGAAAGGAAAGAAGGAGAAGGGGAAAAGGAATGAGAAGAAAGAAGGAGGAGGGAGGGAAGAAGGAGGAAGGAAGGAAGAAAGTAGAAAAGCCAGGAAGGAAGGAAGGAAGGAAGGAAGGAAGGAAGGAAGGAAGGAAGGAAGGAAGGAAGGAAGGAAGGAAGGACAAGCCTTCCTTTTGCACTTGTACCCTTCTGCCCTGTTGAAGTGTTTGGTTTCCTCAGATCCATTCTTCCTCTAGTTTTGCTCTCCTTTTTTAAAATACACACAAGTTTACTTGATTTGGCAGCTAGTAAATGCAAAACTGCCAGGAGCCCCTCTTGAAAATGTCCGGTTTCTGTATCTCATTAGTCCTTTAATTTATTTTTTGTAAGATTTTTTTTTTTCTACGTGGAAAATGAACCTCTTAGGAAACTGACATGGTGAAAGCCGTCGTCCCTGCTTTTGGATGCTCCCTTAGAAAAACAGCTACCACAACAGGAATCTTCGCAATTCCATGTTTTGTTAGAAAAAGCACTCACTTGCTTTGCAAATGTGAAAAGAAAGCAGGGATAGCATTTGTGGGTGGATGATTAAGAGGACTGCCAGTTTCCAAATAAGGGTACATTGTGGCTGCATGTCCCCCTATGGTGGTCATTTGTGAGTGTGTCCCAAACACTCAACGTCTCAAATGCAGCCAACAAACATACTGAATCCTTGGGAAGCCATGAGTTAGATCATTATTTCTCAATCTTAGCAGCTTGAAGAATTGAGGACCTCAATTCTCAGAATCCCCAGGAAATTTGGAAGTTGAAGTCCACGGATCTTAAATTTGTCAAGGTTGAGAAACATCTGAGTTGGATTATTGTGAACCCAGGCTGTTTCTTCATTGCGATTTATGATATCTTACAACATCTGCAGTCATGGTGCAGATATTATGCAACAGTAACTTCATTGCAACAACAGTTGGGTGCAAATATTTCTGCAATCCATGCCTCTCTTGTAAGACTTGTGGACTTCAAGAGGAAGACTATGGGGTCTTTGATATCCTTGAGCTTGGTGGTTTTCTTGCAGATGTTTCACAACCCAACTAGGTAACATCATCAATGTTAGAAAGAAATGGTTTTTTTATATACAAACTCCTTGCCCTGTCTCTCTCAAATGGAGCCCAATGGCTAGTTACTAACAGAGCACCTCTGTGTCTTTTCTTGGGCAATATTAGAGTGAAAAGATGACACCTTACTTCCATAAATAATTGCCCAGAAAGATTCGGGGAGTCTCTCATCCCAAAATAAGCCAGATCCAACCCTGCTTAGATTTTTTGAAAGTCAGCCAAAGTTGGCTGCTATCTGCTAGAACTGGTTGATGCTATAAATTGCTGGGAAGTAATGGCTCTAGGTAATGTGATATAAGGGTATCTTCTCAGTGGTCCTATCTCAGCTGGAAAGGATTTTTTGGGACCCTGACCAGCCAAAT